AACAATGACTTGCAGTCCTGTCAACAAATTTTAAAATTAACATAAAGAAAACTTAAGTTAGAGAAGAGGAAAAACACCGCCATAAAACATTAAGAGTGGTCATACACCTCTTTAAAACTTTCCCATCCACAACTTATATAAATAAGGGTTTGTGGCACTGATTGAGGGATGTTAGCTGGTGATGGTCTGTTTCCAATCTGGACTGAAGCTTCTTTAGCACGTAAAACCCATGGTCTTTTCTCTTCCTGGGATGAGTTTGTGCTGCAGTTAACTTGAATTGAATCAGAAACTTGCCTGAGGAATACTTTCATACTGATGAAACTATATAGGTTCACAAAATTCTAACCTTTCAGAGGATGACAAGGCTTTACGCTCGACTGATGATATATTCTTCAATGCATCAATAAGAGATGCATCTAATCCTTTTCTAGGAGGATCAATGACAACAACATCTGATCCCACAAGCCACAAAAAAGGATCCTGTTACTTGCAAATTGTTCATACAATCAGTTCAAACTAACACATGCAAAGATAAAAGATAAAATAATAATAATAATACTTTCTCTCGTGGACAAAAATAAATTATCCCATTCAAATAAAATCTACACATATGTTGATAAATATACATGCATACCAAAATTTAAGTTGTAGTAAATTTAGTATGTGAATTAGAAAACAATTAATTTGGAAGTTAAAACATAGTATATGTTGATGCTTCAGATATTCAGTACTAACTTTTGAAGCATCCGCATGATGCCAAGTAATACTGCTGTCAACAGTTGCAGATAAACGTTCAATGGTCTTCTCAAAAGATGCCTTCGACTCTTTGTTTATCTCAATGCATTTAACAGATCTGTAATACAACTAGCATAAATCCTTCACATGAATTATGTACACAGAATTAGAAATCAACATTTTAGAGGTTCAGAATCATCCAGGTCTTGCCTGCACTTTCTTGTGGCGGCTAATGACAACCCAATGACCCCAGCTCCAGCATATAAATCAGCAACAGAAGATTCATATGGAACATATTTCTGTAACTTCCGCAGCAAGGTATCGAAAGCCTGGAAGAATGAGGAAGCAATGCAGGAGGCAAAATCAAATCAATCCTTAATGGCACAGCGACCCTCAATGATACAAGAACACTGAATACAAGCTAAGTGCTAATAGTACTCAAGCACATTCAGAAAAATTTCTCTCACATTTTCCCTCTGCAAAAGAATAGTTCCACAGTATGTTTGACAGGGCTCTTGAAGCTGTCAGACTTTTCCAGCAACCGTCAGATTTTGCAACAGCTGCCAGAATTCCAGTGATTTTTCTGGCAACTTTTCTGAAAAATTTCCAGTGACGGTAAAATTTTTCTAACAACTTTTCAAGTGACTGTCAGACATCCTGACAACTTCCCATGATATTTTCAAGGGGTTTCTTGCAGCAAGTTATCATTTTTTATTTACTTTTAGTTCATTAAGTACGAAGTACAAGCAGTAGAAATGTAACCTGTTTTGCCAAACACACACCTCACTCATGAAACTCATAATTCTCAGACACTCTGAGATGAGACGGTGAGGCCAAAATATAACGCTCTCTAAAAGAAAATTAGTTGACTCCAGTAACTAAATATGTTTCTAACTATCCTAAAAAAATGTTTCAAAAAACATACTAAGCATCAAGGCTACCATCTAATGGACTCTGGGGAGGATAGATGCACAATCTACCTACACTTAGACAGGTTGCTTCCAAGATCGAAACTATGATCTTCTTCAGGTCACAAGGCAACCATCTTACTTTCACTAACGCTTGCCCTCTAACACATTGCAATCATATTAAAGAATTTAGATATATTTTCATATATTTCTTTATATACCAATACTATAAATATGATTGTATATATTAAGATCTATTTATTTACACATTATGGTGTGTGTGTTTTGTATCTAGTGTCCATGCTTTAACAGTAACTAGTTCAAAAAGATGGATTAAATACGTTATCTGATTTTCATATAAAATTTGAAGATCCACTAAATTAAAATCTGTACCCTTGTGTTTGCCTGGCCAAAACTAGACGGTGCCAAGGATACATCAATTCCACCAACATGTTCCCAGAAATCTCTTTCTCCAAGAAGATGTCTCCATCTATTCCCAAAAATTATCTGAGCCATCAAAAGTAAGCAATTCAAAGGAATGAATTTTTTTATTAGAAAAATTGTGCACAGCCTCATTCACGAGGAAGTAATCATAAGTTGTCACGAAAAGTTAACATGAGTCGCATACAAGGAACCCCGGATAAAAATAGCTTACATTATGTAAGAACTGAAATGGATAAAAGAGTTTCAGAATTTCATCATCCAAAGTAAGCAACATCAAATCATTCCAAAGATTGCCATTTTATATGATATAATTTTGCAAAGACAATCTAAGTTGCAAAGTCAACATACAATCACAGAAATAATACTTAAGACTCTATGCTTGCAATTGACATTTTTACCCACGATAAAACATTAAGGGGAAAACTTGTAAAGCAGTACTTTTTCACCAAAGATACAAAGATATAATCCATCATGAATCAACAATATCTCTGATTTAAATTTTCAGCATCAAATGATTAGTGTTCCAAAGCAGTTTATGAACTATGCACCCTCCTTCCTTCCCTACTGCACTTACAACACCTACCTTTCCTGTACCATAGAAAGCATACCATTTGTTTGCTCTATGAGAACAATTTAAACTCACATTGTTAGTAGAGGTCTGAAAGTTGGCCCACACAGAGTGAATTAAATGAAGCCTACTCCGTGGCCCACCATTTTTCCATAGAAACTGCACTCAATCACATGGACCATCACTTTCTATTATTAAAAGGAAGGGGCAGGGGAACTTATAAAAGTAAAAAGAAACCAGTTATGATAGAAAGGAAGCAACGAGCTCACATTTGCTAATGCATTCAGTTTGTCAGAACCAGGTGAATTTTCATTTCTTGAATTCCAAACCAATGTAATCTGAACTTTCCCTGAAACCATATAAATTAAATGAAGCAATTGCTATTTTCAATGCCATTATCAATAAGAAAATATCAATTCATTTTTCTGGCGTAACAAATGAGTTAAAGAAACTAAGAAGTAAACCATTCATGTATCTTTCAGCAGCAGGAAGAGATGTATTATATGTCGTCACCGCCATCTGCAAACACCCATTAACTAGTATTTAATTTTCCGAATGCAAACACCTACAATCGTCCCCTGAATTTATCAACTATCCTATTGTTATAAACAGTTCACCTGCACATATCGCAAATCACCAGTACCTTTATCTTCAATATATGGCCCGACACCTAATTCAGTAATACCTAGATGATATTGAGGTAAAGCACATAAAAACTAATTATATGCATTAATTTAAGTATAAAATCAAACACACAGCTATAATAACAGAACAGGAAATACCTTGTCTTAGCAGCTCCACAGCAGCATTAATATTAGGATGATGAGCTGCATGTAGAAGACATCATACAATGGCTTAATTGACATAATTCCACGTCAACCAAGGAGAACTTTTAAAAATAAATAGAAAAAAACTACAGTTACACTTTCAAGTAACCCGTTTAATTCAATAGTAAAGACAATAATAATGATGATGATAACAATGATAGCATAATGATGAAAATAATGACAGTTGCTAAAGTAACCATGGTGATGGTGATCAAATTGATGGTAGTTGCTACGGTGAGATGGTGATGATGGAAGAGGCAATGTATATGGGTGGTGGTAACAACAACGGTGGGGGTGGGGGTGGGGGTGATGGTGAAAGTAACAATGACAATAGGAGTGGTGATGGTAGTGGCACTGGCAACAACTAGGATGGTGGTGACAAGGGTGGTGAGAATGTCAACTATCACAATGGAGGTAGGGGGGTAGTGCGAGAGTGAGAAGTAAGTCAACTATCCCATCATGTCTTCTAACTCACTCTACCTTAGGACAAAAAATACATTGAACCAACATGATAGAAAAGACAATAGGATAAGAAAATCATACCTTGTAGATACACTAAACAATGGGAACTAAAAGGTACCATTTTGTTTTTATTAGATATTGTTTAGATATTATTTAGATATAGTTTGATATTGTTAGATATTGTTAACCATAATATCAAACAATATCTTCTGTTTATTTTGTTTATTTTCGGTTACTTTTTTAGTTGTACCTCTCTATTATAAATAGATTACCCTATGTGTGATTTATACACAAGGGAGATTAATTCCAAACCCTATTTCCTCTATATTCAACATGGTATCTAGAGCTTAAGGTTATCTTGAAATTTTTTTTTCGCCTTTTGTCCGCTGCTAGAGCCGCCCCACCGCTGCTGGTAAACTGATCCTCCACATCAGAAAAGAATTATCTTTGTAACTGAATTTTATTTGGTAGAGTAAAAGTGCATGTCTAGAAAAGTTCTGGCAAGGAAAGACTTGGTATTTAAGTGTGTCCATTAGTGACTCACCTCTCTTTCCTGGGAACTTACCTGGTGTATTGGTTCACGTTGCTATCACCGCTGCCGCTGGAGCAGTCATCGGATCCGCCACTGCCGGAGAATTCGCCGGAGTTTTATTTTTTGATCGATGACATATGATTTTACTTGTTTTGGTCAGGTGACCACCGTGCCGTTGAGATCACCACTATTGGAGTTGGTCGTCCCGTTGTCTCCTGCGTCGTTTAGTCTTGGCAAACTTATTTTTAGTATTCTCATTTTGGATTTGTGCTTCGTGGGTTAATTGGATTACTTTGAATTGTTTTAGGGATTGTTCTCCCGTTCTTCATGACTTCTTCCACTTCTTCTACTATTTCCAATTTTGTTAATGATTCTTTTATGTTGACATCCCATCGTGATGACTGGACTCACCCTCGTAAACAGGGAAAAAGGCGTCCTAAGTGTGAACATTGTGGCAAGCTAGGTCACAAGATTAACAAGTGTTATGCATTACATGGTCGTCCTCCTCGATCTACTGCAGTTGTTCAGACCAATCTTTCTCCACCTTTATCTGCTGGGGATCCTCCTTCTTTTGTTGCATCCGACATGCTTGTTATGTTCAACAAATTTCTCAAATGGTATAAGGATCAACAGTCTTCTAGTTCTACTATATCTGTCACACATACAAATACATATTTTTCTGGTCTGACCCAATCCTTTTCTCCTGGTCCTTGGGTTTTTTATTCAGGAGCCATTGATCATATTACTGGTAACAAATCTTTGTTCTCCTCTTTATCCTCTCCTAATCATTTACCTTCTGTTACATTGGCTGATGGCTCTAGAGTATCATCTCATGGTATTGGAACAGTTAAACTTTTTCCTTCTTTAACCATTGATAATGTTCTTTATGTCCCTGGGTCTCCTTTTAACCTGTTGTCCATCAGTCGTCTAACTCGTTCTCTTGATTGTGTTGTTACTTTTACCAACAATTCTGTGTGTTTACAGGATCGGAGTTCGGAACAGGTGATTGACACAGGATGTGAGTCTCATGGTCTTTATTATCTCCGTCCCTCTACACATATTAGTACAGTTATGGAGTCTCTCTCTCTTCTTCATGTTCAGTTAGGTCATCCAAGTCTTGCCAAGTTACAAAAGTTTGTCCCTGCCTTGTCCAACTTATCTAGTTTGACATGTGAGTCATGTCAATTACGCAAACATAGTCGTACTTCCTTTCCTAGTAGTTTCACACGTGGTGCTTCGTCCCCTTTTGTCGTGGTTCACTCTGACATTTGGGGACCTAGCCGCGTTAAGTCTACTTTAGGTTTTCAATACTTTGTTACTTTCATTGATGATTATTCAAGATGCACTTGGTTATTTTTGATGAAAAATCGTTCTGAATTATTTCATATCTTTCAAATTTTTTTTAATGAAATTCAAATTTAGTTCGGTGTTTCTATTAGAGTTTTGCATAGTGATAATAGCCGTGAATATCTTTCTCATTCTTTTAAACAATTCATGGCTTCTCACGGTATTTTGCATCAAACTTCTTGTGCTTATACACCTCAACAAAATGGTGTAGCTGAACGTAAATATAGACATCTTATTGAAACAACTCGCACACTTTTAATTCATGGAGAGGTTCCTCACCATTTTTGGGGTGATGCTCTTCTTACTGCATGTTATCTCATTAATCGCATGTCTTCTTCGGTTTTAGATAATAAAATACCTCATTCCATTTTATTCCCTCATGAACCACTTTATCTTTTACCTCTGAGAGTTTTCGGGTCTACATGTTTTGTTCATGATTTCAGTTCTGGTCTTGACAAACTTTCTCCTAGATCACATAAATATGTTTTCTTAGGGTATACAAGATCACAAAAATGATACAAATGTTTTTCTCCTTCTCTTAACCGTTATTGTGTCTGCATATGTCACCTTTGATGAGTTGTCTCTTTATTTTAAAAGTCAATCTTCACCTCTGTCTCCATCCAATCTTGTCAACACTCCTAGTACATTTAATGTTCATGTTGTTTGTGACTCTCTAACTGTGTCTTCTTCACCATTAGTTCCTGTTCCACAGTCAGCTTCTTCTCCATTGCCTCTTCAGATTTATAGTTGTCGAAACCAATCACAACCACCACCATGTGACTCCACTCAAGTGTCAACTACTCTGTCTCCTCCGGATCTGACACATGAGTCTGACCTTCCCATTGCCCTCCGGAAATGTATTCGGTCTACACTTAATCCCTCTCCCCATTATATTACTTTGAGTTATCATCGACCGTCATTACCTTTTTATACATGTCTTTCCTCTATTTCTTCTGTGACCATTCCAAAAACTGTCCGTGAAGCTTTAGCCCATCCTGGTTGGCGTCAGGCCATGTTAGATGAACTAAGTGCTCTTCATAATAGTGAAACTTGGGAATTGGTTCCGTTACCATCTAGGAAATCTGTTGTTGGTTGCAGGTGGGTGATTGCTATCAAAGTTAGACCTGATGGTACTATTGATTGCCTCAAAGCTCGTCTTGTGGCCAAAAGTTATACTCAAATTTTTGGGTTGGATTATGGAGATACTTTTTTCCCTGTGGCAAAGATGACTTTTGTTCGTTTATCGTCATAGCTGCTCTTCAACAATGACTTCTTTATCAACTGGATGTTAAAAATGTTTTCCTCAATGGTGATTTGCAAGAAGAAATATATATGGAGCAACCTCCTGGGTTTGTTGCTCAGGGGGAGTCTTCTGGGATGGTATGTCGTCTTCGCAAACCCCTATATGGCCTAAAACAGTCTCCTAGGGCTTGGTTTGGAAAGTTTAGCAAGGTTGTTCAACAATTTGGTATGACTCGGTGTGAAACAGACCATTCTGTCTTTTATCTACACTCGAGTGCTGGATGTGTTTACTTGATAGTATATGTTGATGATATCGTTCTTACAGGTAGTGACAATCCTGACATCTCTCAGTTGAAACAACATCTCTGTCACCATTTTCAAACCAAAGATTTTGGCAAACTTAGATATTTCTTGAGTATTGAGGTGACACAGTCCAATGATAGTATTGTTATATCTCAAAGGAAGAATGCCATAGATATTTTGGAGGAAACTGGGTTGATGAGTTCAAAGTCTGCTGATACACCCATGGATCCCAATACTAAACTTCTACCAAATTAGGGGGAGCCTATATCTGATCCTAAGCAGTATAGAAGATTGGTTGGAAAATTGAATTATCTTACATTTACTCGTCCTGACATTTCCTTTGAAGTCAGTGTGGTAAGTCCATTTCTTAATTCACCAAGTGAAGATCATTGGAATGCAATCATTCGTATCTTGAAGTATATTAAAGGATCTCCTGGAAAAGGATTGTTATATGGTTCTAATAACCATACAAGAGTTGTTTGCTATTCAGATGCTGATTGGGCAGGATCTCCTTCGGATAGAAGATCTACATCTGGATATTGTGTCTCCATTAGTGGTAACTTGATCTCATGGAAAAGTAAGAAACAAAGTGTTGTGGCAAGATCTAGTGCAGAAGCAGAATATAGAGTTATGGCCTTAGTTGCCTGTGAACTTGTTTGGCTCAAACAATTGCTTAGAGAGTTACAACTTGGAGATGTCACTCAAATGACATTTGTGTATGACAATCAGGCTGCTCTTCATATTAGTTCTAATCCTGTCTTTCATGAGAGGACCAAACACATTGAGATTGATTGTCATTTCATTCGAGAAAAGATTATGTCTGAAAATATCAAGACTGAGTTTGTTAACTCAAGTGATCAGTTAGCAGATATTTTCACTAAGTCTTTACGGGGGCCTATAATTGATTATATTTGTAATAAGCTTGGCACATACGATTTGTATGCCCCAACTTGAGGGGGAGTGTTAGATATTATTTAGATATAGTTTGATATTGTTAAGATATTGTTAGATATTGTTTAGATATTATTTAGATATAGTTTGATATTATTAAGATATTGTTAGATATTGTTAACCACAATATCAAACAATATCTTCTGTATATTTTGTTTATTTTCGGTTACTCTTTTAGTTGTACCTCTCTAATATAAATAAATTATCCTATGTGTGATTTATACAATAGGGAGATTAATTCCAAACCCTATTTCCTCTATATTAACAGTTTTAAACTTGTTTTATGTTCTAATCCATTTTGAAAACGTGGACTAAAATGGAATGAAATCTTATGAAGGCAGTCAAAGAACAACAATATACGTATAAATCATCCTTAGTAAATTTGACATATATATAAAAAGAAAAAAAAAACACTTCGTAAATCTTAATTGATTCTACCGTATTTAATGAAATCATCCTCTAAATAACCATTATTTAATTCAATAACTTCAAATAACCCCGTTACTTCTCGTAATATCACTCACACGGCTTTCAAATACAGAAAGAGTATTTTCATTTGAAAAAGTTTCCTAAAATTGAAATCTTCCATCAATGAGCATGAAAGATAATGTAGAAATTGAAAGATCATTTTCTAAATCAGTCTGAGAAAATCAATTCAACTTAATTAACAAATTTTAAGTGGTATAAAATGAAAGTTCATATTTTAATGAGATTGAGAAAAATAAATGAAATTAACTAACATTTTTAACAAGAGTAAAATTGTTTCTTTGGTTTCTTGCTTATATATGAGGCCAGATGCCATATAAAATATGTATTTTTGCGTTATGGCATAACAATGTAGAGATATGGACCTTTGCATTGTGGAATGTCAACTACGTTATGAGTACCCTCTTCATAGAGCCCAATAAGAGGCTCCGTGGAAGAGCCACGCACGGCCAATTTCGCACGGCACCTCCAACCCCACTACAGCAAAGACAAAACTAAAATTTAATTGAAAGAGAATTATAGAGAGACACATACACTAAATAGACTTCATGAATTATGAAGAAAACCAACCAGTTTGCACGTGTCAAATGTGAAGTCGGAGACACCGTGTTTCCGAAAGAAATCGGTGGCGTCGTCCAATATAACCGGACGGTGAATGTTGAACTCGTGCGTGCACCCCGAACACCTGAAAAAAAAAATATAAATAAATAAATTGCATTTTGAAAGGTAAATATATGAAATAAGGTTGAGTAACTGAGGGGCGTACGATTGGAAGTGCGGACATTGAAGTGCGCACGTTAAAGGCGGGGACTGAGGAATTGAAGAAGCGGGCGTCGGCGTCGGCGACGGCGGAGGGAGGGCGGTGGAGGCAGTGGCGCGGCAAGTGAAGAGAGAGAACGATGGCGGAGCTGACACGAGACGGAGGGTCATTTTCCGGTTTGGGGAACGACGCGGTAATGGATAATAAAATTATAAATTATCTTTATATTTATAGTTCTGAAAATATCTTCATGTTTTATGGGAACTGGGCCAGAGCCCAGTAGCTGGGGCTCAAGGTCAGGCCCAATATAATCCCCAAGCTTGCGCACACCAAGTATTTGATTACTTTCCTTTGTTGTTTCTGAGAGGAACTAACTAACTTGTCACCGCGATGAGGATCTACGAAGAGTTGAGAGAGATAGTGAAGATTCAGAAGTTCCGAAGATTTGTGTTGTATACTGCTACTGCTTCGGGACGCTCATAAGCTACGCTTACGTTAGCAATACGACAAGGGCTGGTTACTCTAGAGCCGATCAATTCTACGCGTCGTACCCCGCTGGTACCGAGCTTTTAACGGACACTACCAAGGTATTTTCTTTCACATAATGTAATCAATCTGAAAATTAGAGCATGTTGTTTTTACCAAAAGTGTGATTTTGGTGTTCGAAATTTGTTTCAGTTGTACAAAGCTGCACTTGGAAACTGCTTCGAAGTTGAAGAGTGGGGTCAGTTTGAGTACTGCATCATGGCGAAACACTTCGAGCGTCAAGGGAAGTCGCCATATGCTTATCATGCGGTATGATGCTCACATGCATGCATATGATGCCGAAGGGCGTATTATGAATTGCTTTAACTTTAACTTTTGCATGAATGCTACTGCAAAGAAGAAGATTCTTAAAGAGGTGTATGACCACTCTTAATGTTTTATGGCGGTGTTTTTCCTCTTCTCTAACTTAAGTTTTCTTTATGTTAATTTTAAAATTTGTTGACAGGACTGCAAGTCATTGTTGTCTAGTAAGGCATGGTATTTGGAAAAAGCTCATGGTTTTAATTTCTTTCCTGGTACCCAGAGGTATTATATTTTTTTGTTACTTCTTAATTATTTATATATTTTAGTTTAATAATTGTCATGTTTCTTTTATTCTTGCATAAAAACATTCTAACAGAGTTAATCAATTTCCCTTATTCTCATTATCTGAATTACAATCTAATTCCATTTCAACTTTCTATCCATCTAAAACACAAACCTTAGATATAGTTTTTATCCACTTCGAGTACTTATCTTTACAGTGATTCAGTACTTTTATTTATAGTTTTTACCCACTTCAAGTACTTATATGTATCCATCTAAAATACAAACCTTGGATTGGGCTCTACACTTGTGCTTAAGTGCTAACAATTGGTGTTAAGGGTACCTATAGGTTGGATTAAGATGCAAAATCGAATTCTTGTGAATATAAGTGAAGCCTTCTCAAAGAGAAAAAGGTTACCACTGGCTCAGGGTCGACAGAGTAAAAGCTTTTGGCCCTTAAAGGGATAGCAATGTTAGGAGTCTTACATTGAGTAAGATAAACTACTTGTTGTGGTACTTAAGTCCTGAGATTCTCTCACCTAATAAACTAGTCTTTTGGGTTTGAGCTCTCATCTTGTGCTTAAGTCCTAAAAAAGTCAGACATGTCATATTTCAACATCTTCGTGCAACATACATTTTGACATGCTACGTGATAGACATGATTCCTAGCAAGTTGCTATATCAACGTGCTTATGTCTGTACTCTAAAATTACAGCATGATTTGAAGACAGAGTAATTATCCATCTCCATAAATGCCTGCTGCATATATAATTCATGACATGATATCTAATTTAAATATGTTCAACTCTTCCCGGAGTTTCCCCCCCTAAAGTAAATATTTTTATAACCTTTTTTACATGGCAGACTAAACTAAGGATACTTTGTGGGGTTGGTTGTATAATGTAAACAGCATATCATCGTCCCCACTCTTCCCTGAAAGTGAAAGAATATTAACTTTTAATTTGCACATTGGTTGCAGCATTGAAGTTCTAGCAGTGTTCAAGAGGGGCCCTCAGAAAAAGAAACCAGGAAAGAAAAAGAAAAAGCAGTTGAAAGGAGCAGTCAAACATTAACTTGGACATGGTTCAATATATAGGATTTCGTGTATACCAACAAATTAGAGTGTAATTTTGCATGGAAGAAAAGAAATGGACAAGTTTTGTAGCAGTCTAGAGTGGAGAAAGTTTACCATTGCCATTTGTGAGGCAGGAAGGGGGAAGTCGTTTGTACTGGGAGGAAATGGGAATTGTGATTCATCATTTATTGTGTTGAAAGAATATTAAAATTTGAATATAGTTTTACATTATTTTTGTTTCTTATTCATCATGCTTTTGATCGAAATAATACAAAATTGAGGAATAACTTATACTTGACCATTCAATCTCAATTAATAGGAAAGCTTCAATTCCTCTTTTCTCTGCTCTTAGATTTTGCCAGGTGAGGAAAGACTGCTAGAATGTTGTGTGCCAGAAGATCTTGCCTGGTCAAGATCCCAATTACTGGGGAAACCTGCGATGAGATGACATCATTGGGTTAGTCATAATTAAATGCTACAAGAATTAAAAAAAATAAAAAATCAACCATGAATTTTATTATTCTCCCTGAAATGGTACAAGAATTAAATGTCAACATATCTATTTCATGTTTGAATGATGTTAATATTAATGATGTGCTTAATAAACTCACCCCAGATGCTTGATACTTGGGTACTACAAGCAGATGACGAAGTCCAACTTGCCTGAAGAGGATCATTGCTTTTGCTACTGACATGCTCTCTAGCACCGTAAAGGGGGTTGTATTTGTAAGAGGGTGTAGATCAACAAACATCTCCATTTCCTCGCTGGTCACAGCCACCCCTTCAATACTTCCTTCTCTCTCAGCCAGCTCTACCCAGGTAAATTTCTCTCTCACTTCCCTGTCCTCTGTTCTCCTTCTTTCTTTGAAGAACCACTTTTTCTTTAGTGCTTGGATGAGATGTGCTCTTAGTACTACTCCATGCAGTTCTGTTGCTCCATTGGCCTGTCCTACTACTGGCGGTACTACCCCATCATCCATAACAGGGAAACCATTATGTGCAGTGTTTTTCAAGACATCTACTATTTTGGCTACCTTTTCTATTCCACGGAGGGTAACCACTGATGGCTTTACATCAACAAGCTCACCCACAGTTAGATTTCTCATCCATGGCTCGGGATTTGCATCCATGAAAGGAAGGCCTTTCAAGTGAAGTATGATCTCATAGATACTTGGGTTGAAACTGTCTCCCACAGTTTTGGCTATGAGGAGAACAATCATTGTTATTGGTAGCAGTAGAAGATTGTTTGTGAGCTCAAGAAAGATCACACAAAGGGATACCGTCATCCTCATGGAACCAGCCATGAGGGATGCTGCACCAAGTACTGCAAACAACCCTTGGTCAATGTTTGTATGAGGTCCCATGTAGATGCCAAGAAGGCGGCCATAACCTGAGCCCATAAGAATAATTGGGAGGAAAAGCCCGGATGGCACAGCAATTCCAAAAGTAATTAGTCCTAATATGCAATATAGTACAAAGAAAATTAGGAGGGACATGGGTTGATATTCTTGAGGGGTGTTGGTTGAGAATATGTTTCGAACAGCATCATCATTAGTGGTAAGCAGCAGAGTGGCTAGATCATTGTAGAAGCCAGGTGGGCAGTTGAATTGTTTGAAATTTCCGGACCTTCCATTTGTGGGGCAGGCCGACTCTAGAACTGATGAATCACATGGGGTGCATTTTGCTAAGAATGGGAGACCATATTGGCACATTGATGTGAACAGTGAAACTGCAAGACTGAGGAGGAGTTTATGTATCTTTCCTTTCCTGCAACAATTAAAGGCAAGCATTCCCTTAGTCATCATGCAATTCCAATTGAATCAGTTTTCTATGTGTTGCCATGCATCTCTCATCTGTTACCATTGGATCTGAATGAAATAGATAGACGTTATTTTTTTTGGTTCAAATCCTATGGTTAAGCATCCTAACTTAACGGGTGCATTGTAGAATTCCTCACAGTTTGGGATCATGCTACAAGTTTAGTTCATTAGATGTCATCATTGATTGATTTGGATGTTTTCTTTATATTTTTGGCCCTAGAACTGAACACACGTCTATAACCTCATTGACAATGCATCTGTGGTCAGTATAGAACATGAACTCATGATATGTCTTTTAAGAAGTTAAAGATGTGCAATATTTTGAGACTAGGGTTGGATATCATTGCTTACTGATTGATGAGATTATATAGTCTGAGGATCTTGTGTAGCACATGATTGTAAAGACTTCCCAATACACCGCCTATGATTCCAATGACTACAACGATGACAATATCCATCACATGGTACTTCACTGTGACATTGCTTACATCAAACATGATCAGACCTCCTTCACCAAAAAGGCCACATTTTCCAGAATGGCAGATTTCAATGAAGGCCCTGAGAACCACCACCACCACAGCTGTGCTAAAAAAAGTTCTCCATAGGAGAGCACTTCTCCACCAGGTTGCCACCTCTTCAAGAGCAAAGAGAACTCCACCCACTGGAGCCCGGAAAGCTGCACAAACACCTGAAGAAGAACCACAGGTGATAAGATCCCGACGGTCACGATCATTGTTAAAATATCGGAGCCAATGCCATTTGATCTTGTAATTGTCAGTGCCTCCCTGGCCTAGTAAGGAAGCAATGCAGCTTCCTATATGTACCAACGGTCCTTCTTTTCCCAAATCTAGTCCTGCAGAGACAGCTCCAATGCTTCCAATTATCTACAAGAACCAATGCGTGGGGGATATGATATGAATAGGAATTGGAATTAACATTGATAAGCAAATAGAGATATGATGTGAAGAGAACTAATAATTTGTGTACAATAGCGTTGATGTTAAATGTGAACACCATTTCATTGTAGGCATATGGTCGTGAATTTTACCAATAAAAAGACTCGTAAATTTGGTCAGTCATATTTATATGGGTGTGATTGGGAAACAACTATTTCCAATTCAACGATTTTGTTGCTTCTGTTTTATGCACCAACTTTTGGTGTCTCTGAAACGACAATTCAAACCCTCTGCGACTCAATTGTGGCATCCTAGTGTACTACTTAGTTTATGAGAATAACTATGTTTTATGTGTTAGTATCCCAATGTACTATTTAGGGGAGGAGCGTAACTTATGTGTTGTGGCCATGGTTCTAAAATGCAGTCCACAATCGCAAGCTATATTGCTGTTGCGGTGCCTCCTCCAACCACAACAGTCCGCAATTGTATGTGATTTTGAGACATTTTTCCGCAACTAGTCCATAACGCCGTCACAATAGTTTTATCGAAACCTTGACTTAGTTGTATTTCATTTTTGTCACAAGAAAAAACAAATTCTATTCAATTTTCTATTCTAACTTTTAGATTTCAATGGTGGAATGAGTATTGTTTTGGGAGTGGAATGACTGCAATCGCAACCGCAATATAGAACCATGATTGTGCCGGATAATAATACTAACGCCTCATGATTGTTTGCCACTGATTAAACAAATTGCGAGTCTTCAATGATTGAAAATAGTGGCACCTTATCGTGATCCATCCCTTCTTTGAAAACATATATATCTTCTGTTTTTTCCAAGCCCAACCTTTGAAGCATTGCTTCACCATAATTGCTGTTCTGTTATATGTATGATCCCAAAAGTTGTACAGGATAGACGGAACAAAATAGAGATTAACAGAACATGACGATAGAAAAGGTTTATTACTACAACATAAAGATATCTTATATAATTATTTTTTTCTTCTTTTTTGTATATATGTCTTTCAAAATCTAAGAGGATATCATTTTATTATGGTAGAAGTTATCTATTGTTTGGATCTGCAGTATAAATTAAGTAAGCTTCCGAGAAAATAAATTTATGTTTAGGTTTATAACTCGCCCTCTTTTTGTTTCTTTTTCGTCCATGGACCTCTCTTGCCTACCTTCCAAAACACCTGAATATATCTCCCTAAGTAATCCCTATAAATGAGTTTCGTACCTTTAAACTGCTTCGTTGCGAGTTTAATCAGAAATGAAGGAATTGCATACAGCGAATCTTACCTTGACAATCAATGTTGTAGCACCAAACATGTTGGGAGTATCAACACCATTAAGATAAGCTTTGATCTCAGGAATTCCAGGTCCTGCTGCTGTGGGAGCAAAACACACGCACAGAATAGCAGCAACAAATGTCAAAATGAAATTAATGCCCGTGAAATATAGGAAACCTGCCAAGTACCTGTCCCATGCACATTGATGCAGTCACACACTAACTCATGACATTGTTGATAGTTAAAAATAACTAGAAAGCATGACATGGTTGTTCTGACCTTTCTTTGTGGATGTATCTGAGAACAGCCAGAAGCTTGTACCCAGCAATATTCTCAACAGCAAGATTGATAAGAGTAGCTATAATACCGGTGAGAAGTCCAACAAGGAATGCTAATAACCATTTCAAGAATATGTACTGCAACACTTGAACTCTTGACCTGCTTCTCCAGTCATGCTTGAATAGATCATTCTCATTTATCCTGCATAGAAAACTCTTTTCTGATTAACAACAAAAAATGGAAAAAAAACAAAAAAACAAAAGAAGTTTATTATCTGACAGTATTTGGAACATAGTAATCTCTGAAAGAGGATACTTGTGGAGAACAAAACAAAAAATTGCTTTCAATAGGATAATGCCTTCTTACTCATAATCCAAGCTTTCTATGAAGGAAACTTTTTCTCCAACCAGAGCAAGAGCGTTGGAAGACAGTGTCCAGTTCCTCTTGAGCAGTGGCTCATTCAGCGGATTGCTTTCTGGGTCTATTTCTTCTTCTCTTTGAACTTCTTCCATCTTGTGGTTGATTTTGGTGCTTTCTCCAAACTCCCTAGAATCCTCCCCCATTGGAACAACAGAGGTGTTGAGGTAGAGAACTTATAAGGCTCTCAAGTTGCTGAACTTTGTATTTGTTTTGGATTAGAATAAGCTGAGACACCTCACCTGTTATCCTCGAAGTCCATTTGTTCTTTGGTCCTGCTAGTTATTTTTTTCTCTTGACAATTGTTTATCTACGTGATTCCATCCCTTGATGAGATCATTCACTGTGAAAGTCACACACAGTGGATAGAAATGTTAAGGTACAAAATACTTGGAGATGAAATTTAGGGACCAAAAGGAACATGTCTTTTCAAGGACTATATATTTGGAGATGAAAGTCACACACAGTGGATAGAGTAGCTTATATACTAAATTAAATCTTTTGGGTAAAAAAGTTATAAAATAAACGTATCCTCAACCAACTCTATATATTTGTTAAACAAGCTATTACCTTTTATAATCAAGGATTCTGGGCTAAAGACAATGGTTGGGACCAGAGACAGTGAAGTGCAATTGTTCTTTGCGATGAATAGATAGGGATGCATATGCCTTTGTTTAAGTCTTTATTATTATGATCATGGATGTGCTACTCAAAAATAAACTAGTTGAGCCAAATGGGTGGTGCTTCCAAGTTGCCATTTGATGTGTGAATTTGATGGCTACATCATTTTATCTATATGCTTTTGTTCCTTTTTCCAAGGATTCCATTCCTACTATCAAACTAAAACAAATTGAAGATTCTACCTCTTGCAATTATTTTTTATCTGCACCTTCATCATCCACTATTATAGTCGTTTTACTACAAAAAGTTGATATATTATGTGAGGATGGAACTCATTATCAGCAAATAAATATAAAGTCCACTACTATTGAAAGATTTTTTTGGTGTGTATTTAAGAAAAAAAAACTGAGTGTGAATTCTCATTATCCAAGTTGTCTTAACATTTTTTACATAATTTATTATTGTTATTACTATTTTACTAACGGATAAACAATTTAGACAAAAGGTCTTGAGCAAAATGATAAGGGATCAGCAAAATTTGAGACCTTTTCCACTTTATTCTTGGGTTACAAAAAGATTATGTGGTTTTGTACCTTTTGTTTTATTTAAAATCCAATACATATGATATGGAATTCATCATCAACATAGGTTAAAAATAATTGAAAAACTCTCTTTAGGCTTTTGAAAAAGCAAAAGTGTAATTCTACGTTTTAACACATTAATTTATAAATAATTACTAGATAAAAATTATTTTAGTTTTAAAAAAAATTATGTATGAAATTATTAAAGTGATATAAAATAATTAAGGAAGATATTACTAAAGGCAAGAAATATTTATCTACGAAGTATTTTAAAATAATCTGTATTCAAATAATTAAAAAGTTATGAAACATCAACATGTTAACCAAAATGTTTCTTAATTTTCACGAGGACAAAAACTTAAATAAAGTTCTTTACGTTTTTGTTATCAAATTATTCGATTGTTCAATAGCAATGAAAATTTATTTAAAGTGTTATAATATATTATTAGTGAAAGATATTTATTATTAAAAAAATATGAATTTTTTATCGTTTACATAAAAAACGTAATTGTAAAAATATAGACAGATTACTTAAACAAATAATAGAAATACACTGAAACTAGGTTATCATACTAATTTCTATTCGTAATTTTAATTTTAACATTTAGTATTTGAATAAAATACTAAACAAACGCATTATTTATTATTAATTCGAAAATCAGAAATTCACATTGTAATTGAGAGGTTAGACTCTATATAAATAAATACTTGAATTGTTCAAAATATTTAACTATTAATTTTTTAATAATTATTTAAACGTTTATTTTATTGTCTAAATACATATTCTCAGAAAATTTAAATTAATTATTTTAATGATATCTTATTTTCAGCAAACAAATTCAATCCAAGAAATAAAACAAATAAAAATATGTAGAAACTAACTAAAATGAACTACCCAATAATAATTAATCATGATAAATAAAGGTAGATATATCAAACCCTAATACCTAAATCTTAATCTATAAAAATAATATATATATATATATATATATATATATATATATATATATATATGATATAATTTAGATTCACATATTATCCATCTTAAGTTAAATATATTATTTATTAAGAGATTTGGTAAGAGGGATAAGGACAACTTTAGAACCAGTTATGATGTGCCACGTGGAACTTTCTGAGGGGTTATATCAAATTGATGAACGTTCATGATTATAATGGCCATTGACCCCCTCCAAAGGGTACCTTCACCCAAATCATACATCTCTCTCTATTATTATTACTAATCAATGCAGGCAATATAGTCCAACAATCTGCACATAACTATAAAACAATAGTTAAGTGCGGACAGTGAAGTGCGCACGTGAAAGGCGGGGACTGAGGAATTGAAGAAGCGGGCGTCGGCGTCGGCGACGGCGGAGGGAGGGCGGTGGAGGCAGTGGCGCGGCAAGTGAAGAGAGAGAACGATGGCGGAGCTGACACGAGACGGAGGGTCATTTTCCGGTTTGGGGAACGACGCGGGAATGGATAATAAAATTATAAATTATCTTTATATTTATAGTTCTGAAAATATCTTCATGTTTTATGGGAACTGGGCCAGAGCCCAGTAGCTGGGGCTCAAGGTCAGGCCCAATATAATCCCCATGCTTGCGCACACCAAATATTTGATTACTTTCCTTCGTTGTTTCTGAGAGGAACTAACTAACTTGTCACCGCGATGAGGATCTACGAAGAGTTGAGAGAGATTGTGAAGATTCAGAAGTTCCGAAGATTTGTGTCGTATACTGGGTTCTACTGCTTCGCGACGCTCATAAGCTACGCTTACGTCAGCAATACGACAAGGGCTGGTTACTCTAGAGCCGATCAATTCTACGCGTCGTACCCCGCTGGTACCGAGCTTTTAACGGACACTACCAAGGTATTTTCTTTCGCATAATGTAATCAATCTGAAAATTAAAGCATGTTGTTTTTACCAAAAGTGTGATTTTGGTGTTCGAAATTTGTTTCAGTTGTACAAAGCTGCACTTGGAAACTGCTTCGAAGTTGAAGAGTGGAGTCCGTTTGAGTACTGCATCATGGCGAAACACTTCGAGCGTCAAGGGAAGTCGCCATATGCTTATCATGCGGTATGATGCTCACATGCATGCATATGATGCCGAAGGGCGTATTATGAATTGCTTTAACTTTAACTTTTGCATGAATGCTACTGCAAAGAAGAAGATTCTTATTGAATTGGGGATTTGCGTTTTTAGCGACACTTTGGGGGATACTATTGGATAGGATTATTCTTCTCCCTTTGGGTGGTGGACAAGCGATTGATTTGTGAATTGTGAGTGACATATTGTGGTCTTCTCTGGAATGACAGAGAGGTCTACGAGAGGAATGTGTTTGAAAAATTGCATAAAAACTGGTTTCTGAAATGATAATTTCTGTAGAATATTAGATTTTTTTTTGCTGTGTTTGATTTATTTCCCGACTTTTCTTTTAGTGTCTAAGGAAGATCCTGAATTAAAAAAAAAAAAAGTCTCTGATGACAGTTTTGACAGCCACATAGAGGTTTTTGGAGTTATTTTACCACAATTGCCAATGCTTTTGTTTGCATTTGCAATTTCCCGCAATATCAAGAATTGCAATTTGATTGCAACTAAGACCATGGTTAAGGACAAATCTAGATTCCAGATATGGAGGATGATAAACATGATTTCCTTGTATTTCTCACAGCACCTGAGACTAGTTTAAAACTGAAGTAGAACGCCCCGGATTATGACTTTTTCAGTCAAAGTAGACAGACCTTCATTTGGTCGGAGGAGTTTCTATGTTCATTTGTATAACCAAGCAATAGCAGATATGGCAGAACTGTATTTTTCATTTTAATTGCTGTTGCTGAAAGCTATGACCAATTAATTTATCAAAACCCAATAGAATACTCTTATTTTATTTTTTGGATAAAATCTTATAGCATAATTTCAACCATGCTTCTATGTTTGTTGAATTTTGTTACCGTCATCCATTTTTTTTATCTCTACAGTTTTTATAGAACTAACAAAAAGTTATGACGTCTGTGGATTCTTACAGCAATACATGGCACACCTCCTTTCTCTTGGACAACTTGATGGAAGTGGCTGATGGGAGTTATTAACATACAAACTATGGTGAAGTATGACGGAGTAGAAACTTTTACAATATATGAAGACTTGTAAAGTCGAAAGAGAAAACTGCTCTTCGATATTCAAATCCCAGTCAGTCTCAAGTGTTTCGGATTATGTTGTTTACATTACTAATTGTCTAATTCTATCCTACTTTAAGATGATTATAAGAAATCCTGACATTGAGCACAATTTTGCAAAGAAATAGTCCGCTTGTTTCTCAAGAAGAGATGAGAAACATGCTCAATATTATTTGATTGAATAATTGACCCAGTTCCTTGTTGTTTAAAGAAACCCTCCACTTCCTTTGGTATTTTTTCACGAAAAGCAAAATGGTTTCATTATGTTTGAAGGTCATGAAATTTGTAGTAAATTTGATTTTGCTCCCCAAATTTAAAAAACCTGTTTCTCAAAACTGAAAATGTATGATTTTAGTCCATAGACACTAAAAACTAGTTTTAATATGTAAAGTTTAAACCTTAACCCTAAATCTTAAACTTAAAAAAATTCATTTTTAATCTCTCAAACTTAGTATTTAGACTTTTTTTCATAAATAATACTATTTTTAAAAATATTTCCCAAAATAGCACATCCGGAACATTATTTACACAACTAGCACTTTTTACTGATCACATATTAAAATAATCGATTATTTTATATTATGATCGATTATTTCGCGTAATCAATTCTCGCTCAAGCGAAGAAACCTTTCGCTTGAGCGAGGAAATCTGTAATAAAGGCGTAATCTAGGGTCAATTCTCGCTCAAGCGAAGAAACCCTTCGCTTGAGCGAGGAGACCTGTAACAAATGGGAAATCGCGGGTCAATTCTCGCTCAAGATACGGGTACTTTCGCTTGAGCGAAAAGTGATTAAAATATGTGGTGACCCAAGTTGCGTTATGTGGCTAACTGCGTTGGACGTTTAGCCACATAATGCAACTTGGGTCACTGCATATTTCAATCACTTCTCGTTCAAGCGAAAGTACTCGTCGCTTGAGCGAGAATTGACCCGAGATTTTAGATAGCGGTTCTAGAACTAACTGCTATTAAAAATATATGTTAGATAGCGGTTAACGTGAAACTGCTATTATATGTTCACTTTTAAGAGCGGTTAAAATATTGACCGCTCTTAAAAGTGACACATATATAATTGGCCCGTGGTCAATTCTCGCTCAAGCGAGGCATCCATCGCTTGAGCGATGAAATTTATAATCGATTATAATTTGAACTAATCGATCATAAATTTAAAATAATCGAATATACAAAATTATGATCGATTATTTCTCTCTCGCTCAAGCGTTGAAACTTCGCTTAAGCGAGGAGACCTGTAACAAATGGGAAATCGCGGGTCAATTCTCGCTTAAGTTACGGGTACTTTCGCTTGAGCGAGGAGTGATTAAAATATGTGGTGACCCAAGTTGCGTTATGTGGCTAACTGCGTTGGACGTTTAGCCACATAATGCAACTTGGGTCACTGCATATTTCAATCACTTCTCATTCAAGCGAAAGTACCCGTCGCTTGAGCGAGAATTGACCCGAGATTTTAGATAGCGGTTCTAGAACTAACCGCTATTAAAAATATATGTTAGATAGCGGTTAACGTGGAACCGCTATTACTTGCTGGTAGCTTATTAATTATTGATCGTGTGTGAGAATTGAGATTGAACTAGAGAGAGAGTGGATTGGAACATAATTCATTTAGAGTAAGCATAACTATGCCTTCTTTGAAATCCTATTTTATACAGCTTTATTTTGAAGAAGCTTATACCTTATCTGATGTTAGGACTATCCTGGTTTTTGACTTCATCCTACCATTTGTGTCTTTTCTCTTTGTGCCCCTCGTCGTTGTTAATATTGCTTTTTGTGAATTTTGCTGGACACTAACAAGGAATATTGCATGTCACTAGTTAAATGATTTGTTATCTACACCCCTTGTTTTTATCTGAAACATTTAACAAAATATATCACCAATTTTTCTTGGTCAAAACTACAGTTACAACTCCAGTTTTGACTATGTTCTTCATGCAGAAAACTCTATTGCATGCTTTACACTGTAGAATTTTAACAAGTTGTTGGTTATTTTGTAATTAGTTTTAGATTTTGAAAAAAGTATTCTTAAGATGTCCCTTATTGCCAAGGAATATGGTCAGAATACCCTTTATAAGCAAGCATTGGAAAAATCTCCTCCTTCAAGCTAGCTTTTCAAAGTGAGTGAGTCCGGTTTGTTTCTGGTATGGTATATGATATCTAATCTTAATGTGGGGTCTTCCTCAGATTTCCAGTGCAGCAAACACTCTCAGTGTCTAGTCCTTGGTGAGGGAGGTAGGTGTCCCATTGAATTTTGAACTTGATAGAGGAATTTGTGGTGCTGCTGAATTTGGCAAATTAGAGGTGTTTTCTAAAGCTAATATGTGCATTGACTAGCTGATAGACAAACTGGACAGTTCTTCTACCTTTAATAAACTGATTATTTAGTTGTGTTCTTATGTCAGTGAAAAACAATGAGGAAGCTAAAGTTTCACGAGAAGAAGCTTTTGAAGAAGGTAAATTTTTTGGAATGGAAGAGGGAAGGGGGTCACAGAGAACCTGGTTATTTTCCTTTATTCTAGATTAGCTTTAAGCTGACACATTTTATGTGTTTGACTCTCGGATCTTGGAAATATGAATGGATATTCAGGTTTATGCCATATGGTTCAGAAGTTAGTAAACATATTGAAACAAATAGACCCAAAGGATCCTTTCCGGATTGATATGACTGATAAGCTTCTAGAAAAACTGTGAGTTCATTTTTATTCACTCATTATATTTGAACTTTTAAACATATTAATGAGCCCATTTAGGCATATAGTTTTGTTGGAGATCAAAACTTAAACATATGACCGGGATATTATTTAATTCATATTAATAACAAATGTGTTTTGTAATTATACTAGCTCATATATTTCATATTTGCATTTTCCATTATTCTTTTGAAACAATTTATCAATATGGCATATAGTTGTGTTTGAGATCAAAGCTTAAAACATATGACTGAGATATTATTTAGTTCATATGAGTAACAAACATCGTGTTTTGTAATTATACTAGCTCTTATATTTCATATTTGCATTATTATTCTTTTGAAATAATCTATACTTCAATCTTGTTCTTAGACTCCTCAAATCTATTTGTGCTTCAGCCATTTCGTTGGAAATGAATTCGTTTAGTTTGTATGAGATCGGATTACCTAGATTCAAATACAAATAAAGTAGCAAATTTATATACAAATTGTTGGATGGATTTCGTTAACCATTTGTGCTGTAAGTAACACACATACTGATATATGATCAAACAAATTACAAAATATGATGGAACATCAATTGATAAACTAATAAAATGAAATACTGAACACAAATAATTCATAATACAACAATACATTTGCTGTACCAGAGATAAAGTCTCCTAAAGAGAGTATTCTCTGCCTACAACCTGCAAAAAACAACACGCATCTATTATATATGCAATTCTAATTTAGTACTAATGCTGAATTACTTATATAAGATAAGTTATTTTGAATAACATACCAGATATTCGTAATAATAAATGTCTCCTCTCCAATTCATCAAATAGATTCTTCCTAATTCACTTAGATAGCAATTCCCATCAAAATATAATAAAAATAGGTGAACTTGTTGCAATATGGTGTTTTTTGTTTTCTCTTTGATGATCATGGGTATGCTAAACTTTCAAGTCGGTATAAAATATTTAAACTGATGTAACTTTTGAGAAGTTACCCTTACTGTTTCAAACAGAAAGATTGCATTGATTTTAGGTACCACTTTTTATTTCTTCTTGGTATTAGCTTGTAACATTGAAAAGTAAATGTTATCAGGTATTATTTTCTTAATGTCTTTCTCTTCTTTTTGGACGACAGTTACAACATGGGTGTGATTCCAACCAGGCAAAGCATTACACTTTGCGAACGCTTAACTATGTTATCCTTCTGTAGCTAAAAGTAACATTTTGCTGTGGTTAATGTTTTAAATGAAATTTGAGTTATTAATTTTATTTGCTTGCACCTTGCACATTAGAGTGTGCAAATGAAAATATATCAAGAGAAAGAGAAAACCAAATGATCCACTTTGTTCTTTACTGGGTTGTTTATAACTTTATTCCAGTGATACCATGGTGTATTTGGCCGAGTTTTTCTACAAAGGCTTTTTAGGGGAGAAAAATAAGAAGAAAAAATCAATTTTGGTTCTCTATAAGTTAAAATTATCTTATGCATAATCTTATTTATAGAAGCTTTTCTAACTTCTCCAAAAAACAATTTATTATTTTATTTTTTCACTTTTGTATAAGCTAATTTTAATTTACGGAGAAGTCAATTTCGTTTTTTTATTCATATTTTTCTCTCCTAGAAGTTCTTTACAGAGAAAATTGTTTTAGAATGACTTCTTTGCATTATATTGCCCTCATTTGTTCCTAATATCAATGATTTTCTCTATTGTGCAGGCGGAGGCTCACGACTGTTTCGGTGCGACTAAAATTTGCAGAGCACTTGAAAAGAGCTGTCACATACATTGAGCAAGGTCATATAAGAGTTGGTCCGGAGTCAGTTACAGACCCAGCTTTCCTTGTTAACTAGAAACATGGAAGACTTCGTTACGTGGGTGGATTCATCCAAAATAAAGAGAAAGGTGCTTCAGTACAATGACAAGTTGGATGATTAAGATTTAATGAATTAAGTGGAAGGCTTATTAATTGTGGTTTACTACATGAGTTATGGACGATTTTGTTTCCCTTGGCAGATAGTTTAGACGGGCTTGGAGTTTTTATGTTTTATTTTTTCAATTTAAAATTTATACCAGATTAAGGTGATGATGTAATGAACCGGAAAATTAGTTAATCATGATAGTGATTTCAAATATTAAAATGTATTCTGCATTTTCCAGTCCATTGTTTCGCTATCAACAGGTGCCCCAGGTTGTATTTTAAGTGAATGAAGAGCCATTGAGGTTGATTGGTGATGGTATAGTAACGTTTTCAATTGCAAGGATTCACCTTTCTGGTCTTGCAGCTGCATAATAATGGTCAAATTATAATTTAGACTGTCACGCTTGTGTTTTACATCTCTTGCCTGTTTTTCCATTCCTCAAATGGCAGATATTCTAATCAAACAGATAGCTATTATTACTTTCACAACCTACACTCTATGCAAGGAAGTTGAACATACACATTCCAGCTTTTGACAAGTGTTACAAGTATCTGATTCTTAACTAGTTATCAGTTGATGTAGTTAGTTAGCTAGTTAATACGTCTAAATCTGATATATCTGATTAGATTGGTTCCTTTTTCCAGTTCAGTTACAATCCATCTATAAAAGCAAAGCTTCTAAACAAGTAGGAATGAGTGATGGAACAAGTTCAATCGGATTCACACCAAAGACAAATTCTGCATGTCTTTCATTTTCAATTTTTGAGTTAACATAATATATGTTTCTGCCTACGTGTCTCATATTTGCTTCTTCTAAAAACTTAAAACTCAATCAGTTCACATTTTCTTATAGTATGATGTGTGACAACACAACTATTTGCATTTAGTTTTAATATGGGTTCTACTTTAATATTACAGGTCTATTTGAAAGCAACATCGTGTGTGGTGGTTGGCTAGACAATATCTCCAGATTCAAATCAAATATAGTGTAAAAGCTAAAGAGCATTGCTTTGGATTTGATTCGCAGTGTTAACTTTATTTCTTCCGTTTTTAATGATAAAGTTCAAAAATGGTTTACTTTTACTTTTTACTCTTCACCTATGAAGTCCATTGCAGTTTTCATGGTTTTTTTTATCAGACACAGACAGTCTTTTCAAAAGTAAATTCAGTTCAATCTTGTAACCTGGAAAGGCAATCAATATTTCTTCAAAAGAAAAAAAGAAAAAAATTCCTTTATTAATTGAAGGCTTTAATTTAATGTCTTTTTACCCTTTTCAATGAATGCATTATATCAACTGGAACATTTGACTACAATAACTATTTTCATGAAGTAATTTTATACAAACACGTTTTCCTTTTCAGATGAAGCACCAAAACAAAACTTCTCTTGTTCACACCTAAATGCAGAAAGCCTCATAAGAGTGAAAGCATCAATGTCCTCACTAGTCAACCACTGACCACTTTTATATTTTTTCTCAAATTTAATTCAGTCTTATTGATCCAAGTTATGGCATTGGAAAACAGATAGAGGCAACCCCCATAACATAAAGAGGCAACCCCTTTTAAGGCAAATTTCTCTCCCCACACTTCATCGATCCAAGGCAGAGAAAACAGGGTACCCTCCAAATTCCACACTGCCACAGTTATCTCATCAACACAGACGTATTAACACAACAGTGATATGTATCAGAAATCAGTGCATTAATTTGTTGAATTGATTGAGACCCTTTTTCATTCCCATTTCGCTTACCCTAAACACGGAAAATCCAAACAATAGTGGACCCCCACAACGTAAAAAGGCATCATACTTTATGACAAGAAATCTACACTTCAATTTATTAACATCAACCCGTTAAGCAGATGAAGAGAGGAAAATGAGGAATCAAACAAACCCCTTTTCCCATCCTTTGGTGTCCCCTTTTTTTTCAGTTTCATACAATCACTTTAGCTTCACCTTTCTTGTCCCACACCCTATATAAACATACACACATAAAATACATTAACACCTTCCATAGATAGACCATTATACCAACATGTTTCTTCAAGGTTCAGTGAATTTTGCTGCTTTGACCCTTTTCTTGCTCCTACCAACGGTGCCTCATCAAGCACACGCATCAAGACGTGGCTCCTTAGGCAGAAACATCAACCCTCCAGTGTATGGTATATGTACCTCTTCTGTCATTGTGCATGGATACAAGTGTCAAGAACACGAGGTAAGACCTCCAAATACGTAACTATGTCCACTATAAACAAATCATTTGCAATGGTGTTTGAAGGTATCACATTAACATATGATCAAAATAGTATATACTCAAGTGAAAACTGAATTAGTTTAAACTCAAATAACAAGAGATTTAGAGTGACATGTTGTGTTGACATATTTTTTCAGGTTACAACCGATGATGGATATATTCTGAGTTTGCAAAGAATCCCAGAAGGTCGAGGTAAGGGTAATGACAGCAGAAGTAGGAAACAACCAGTGATCATACAACACGGAGTTCTAGTGGTAAGTGGGAAACTCTACATTATCTATATCTAACATTAATGTGTTGTAAATATAATGTAAAGTTTACGTGTTTTGTTAGTATTTAGGATAAACAGTTTCTCCAATGCTGTGGTAATTTTCAACATTCAAAACTCGAAAGGTTTATGTGACAAAAAGGGTGGCGTTTCCGCGTCTGTCACATCATAACAATGAGTTTTTTTTATTTTTATGCTATTTTAGATAAAGGTGACAAATTACGTGATGCTCAAATGTGTGGTTGCTTAACCCATTATTATAAGTTATACTTTCTTATGTGACGTTACAATTAAGCAACCGAAATTGCTTGAAAAAAAATCATCAGAATAGATGATTTTGGAAAAAAGGGTGTTTTGTATTAATCTCCTCCAACTCTTTTCTCAATCAAATGAATAAATGAATAATCTTTATATATGTTAAATTCTAGACGAAAAAAAAGTTTTACTTTACTCTTTAATTAAGCATGCATTTCATCTAATTAAATGTGGTTCTCCAGCTGTTGAATTCCGCGTTACATGAACTTGATTTCCTTCATATATCTTTCAAAGTAATGCTTCTTTGGATATTATTCATGATGTTTCATTATGACTTTCGCAATAAATTTTCATGATTATTTTTCTTTTTCTTTTTCCTTTTGTGTTACTTTTTGGTATACTCCCACAAAAATTAACCATAATCCTAAAAGTGATTCTTTTCATATGATGAAATATGAAGAAGACATAAATAACCTTTTTTTTTTCTTTTTCAATCTAACACTCAAAACACACGAGAGTCATGATGCGTGTGAATAATTTTATTCTTCTCACTAAATAAAAAAAAAAGTATTAAATATATTTTAATATTTCCTTGATAGCTTTATGCTTATAAAATTCAACAAACTAAAAATATCCATGCACAGTTTGAATTATCAAGCAATGATAGTAACTCCCACTCCTAGTGTCATGGCTTACAGATTTAGATTATATATGCACGCGAATTAACAAGTTTTGTTTCTTCCCAACCAAGATAGCATAGACACATGATCCCCACTATATGGAGAGTGCACTTCAAGATTTAGAAAATGTTGACTTTAAATTTTACTATACTCATCAAGATCAGTTCCATTGAGGATTTTACAAGGGGTTTAAACCTTACCATTTCTATTCTAACTTGTGACTTCTGTTCATATTTAAATTCTAACACGTCAAGGAAGAATAGTATCCCAATTTCATTTAAGAAATTAAAATATTAACTTCTACTTTAAACAACACGAGACTTATATCGGAACAAAAGATATATTTCATTATTCTTTGTATTGTTTAAAAATAAAGTTCATAAAAACTAAATAGTAAAAGTGTTTTAGGGTAATTTACTTGAAGTTAAAGGATGATTGATGATGGATGCAGGATGGTATGACATGGCTTCTGAACCCTCCAGAGCAAGACCTACCTTTGATTTTAGCTGATAATGGCTTTGATGTGTGGATTGCAAACACCAGAGGAACCAGATTTAGCCGCCGACACATCTCATTGGACCCCTCTAGCCCGGTTGGTCCTTTTTTGTTCTTTTCCTGCTTTGAGATTATGCTATCTTGTGTTTTGTGCTAAATTAACTCCTCTATGTGACAGGCCTTTTGGAATTGGTCTTGGGATGAACTTGTCTCCTATGATCTACCTGCCATATTTAATTATGTATTCAGCCAAACGGGGCTGAAGATCAATTACGTTGGTCATTCCTTGGTACTGCATTACATTCTTCATTCCATCCTATTCTTTTATTAATTTAGTTAGAACTTATTCATAGCTTAAAGTTTTCTTAATATAAACTATCATATTTTATATATGATAATATTGTTAGCTTCTTTTATCATTATGTTCAGATGATTTCTAATTAATATTGGTGATATAGATGTCTTTATATCAACACTACTTGATTAGGAGTTATCAGTGAAAGATAAAGAGCAGAATTGAGTTCTGAAAGTGGAAAACCATGTTTGGCAGGGAACTTTGATAGCTTTGGCATCCTTCTCCGAAGGGAAATTGGTTAATCAGCTGAAATCAGCAGTCTTGTTGAGTCCTATAGCCTATTTAAGCCACATGAACACAGCACTTGGTGTTATTGCAGCTAAGTCCTTTGTTGGTGAGGTACGAGTTACATGATAACCCTACCTCTTGTTACTATGAAATCATGTATATACTTCATTTGCTGATTCAGGGAAATGATCTTCTTTTGCCAAACAGGTCACTACCCTCTTCGGTCTGGCAGAATTTAATCCAAAAGGGTAACTACATAGAACTCACAAATTAATGAAGTTGTCTCCTAATACTTTTAAGCCATAACTATGATTCTATAATGTATACAATTTAATGCTCTCTCAATTGCATTGTATAGGTTACCTGTTGATGTCTTTCTCAAGTCTCTCTGCGCTTACC